TTCAAGAACAAAGAATTCTCGCACATCCCAAGTTGATTCTTTTACTATCAGGCGTCTTCTTCCATTGAATGAGATTCTTGGAGAAAAAAGTGTGAGATCTGCCGCTCCCTAATTAAGATAACTGGGGAGAGATGAGGAACTCATTTTTCTCGGGATCCAGGCTCATCATGAATGAATGCGACCTGACACTTCCCTTGCCTACTTTCAAGTATTCTCCACTTTCCATAAAGAGCAATGTTCTTCGATCTCTATTAGCGTCATGTTTGTGATGCGATCGAGCAGGGGAGGCATCCTCGTATGTCACCATTAGAAAAATCTTCACGTTTGCTGAGGTTCATCTGGCACTCCCTTTGCGCCGAAAATGTCTTTGCATTTATAGGTAATTACCATCAGAGGGGACACAAAGTCTGTTAGTTACTTTTGTCTCATAATGAGACACCCCTTTTTTAAAATCCTGGATACACCCCTGTTAGGTACAAATAAGCTAAAATATCAAGTAACCAGAATTATTTATGGCTTAGGTACTAATTATTGCTGGATCTTTGTTATAGTTTGATCACATATAAATCATGTTTTACTGATGTCAAATCACCCACAAAATGAAATCAGTATTGTTGGCTTGCCCACAAGAAAATTAGATACCACTCCCATTCTTGAAAGAATCTCAGCATGTATATAATAAACATTTGAACCAAGGAGTTTTAACTTTTTTAGGACTTTTGACTGCTACTCGTTTATACTATTTGAATTAAGCTTACACTGTTTGAATTGTAACGACTTTTCGATTCTTCAGGCTTGTATCGGGAAACCTCAAGCCGTTTTTGTCTCAATTGTTTTGTTATTAATGTTTATAGTTTTAACTTTGTTCATTTTATTTATATCTTCCTCACAGGAATTAAGAACCTAATTACGAACGTGCTTAACCTACATTGCCAATAACTACTCCAAAATACAAGAACCTCTTAACTCTTGCCAGACTTCAAAAAACTCAGTTCTTACACGCGGGTTTTTACTGGAATTCTTTTACCGAGGGAAAATTCAATAGACCCATTCAACTTGTAAACGCTTGCGTGATTGTTCAGACTGTTTTTGTTTTTTTTCTTTCAGTTTTCATCATTATATTTCTTGGTGCCCTCCAAAATGATAATAATAGGAGATGTGTCTAGAAATGCACGCATTGGCAAAAATGGCAGAAATGGCGATTAATTGCCAAAATCACCAAACTGTATTTTAAACAAAAATTCGAATGAGATGGCAAAGGGGCCCTTTGGAAAGTGGCGAGTTTTGCGAAAATGGTGTATTTGGCCAAAAGGACAGAAAAGGTGATTAAACGCCAAAATCGCCACACTGTAAACAAATATTCAAATGAGATGGCAAAGGGGCCCTATAGAAAGTGGCAATTTTGGCAAAAATGGCATATTTGGCGAAAATGGCGGAAATAGCGATTTAAGGGGCCACTTTTGGCATCCAATTTGAACCTTTGCCACATTCTGTGGATATCACAAGCCTTCTGGCGATTTCGTCAAAATTGCCAGTCTCCAAGGGGACACTTTTGGCATCCAACTCAAAGTTCGACAAAGGCTGGCGATTTTTCGCCATTTTCGCCATGGCATGCATTTCTGGACATAAGTTTTATAAAAGACATGAAAGGGAAATTCGATAGATCTTATTTGTCATGATTTATAGCAGGTGCTAAAATTCATTGCACTTAAATAGAGTTTAATACAGCGCAGCAGTTTGGCATAATTCAGATCATTCTGGTTGAACTATTAAAGTGCGTTTGGTTTGAAGCCGCAAACGTAATTACATGCATCAGGCATCTCGCCACCGGCCTTAGTCTCTTTTTGTGTTGTTTTCTCCTACGAAATCTGCCTCCTTCTCCCTCTGTCTGACTTGAAAATGGCGCCGTGATTTCTTTCACTGAGCGATGCAAGAAAACGGCGGGAACATTGTGATGGCTTCTCGATTTTGATTGGCTACTGTTTGATTCTAACTTTTCATTGGCTTTTTTTAGCGGGCTAAATGCCTCACGGTCTTTCGTAATGTAGGTTTTATGAAACAGGAATGATCAGTGACAAAATACCCTCCAACACTCTCAAAAACTACCATTTTAAAGATCTGTTAAAACAATCATACCACTTCTAATTATCTGGAGGAACAACTGAGTGAGGAGAGTTAGTAACAGTTACGAATGTGCAATCACAAACAAATGATAGAACTTGGTAGTGATACCAGCGCCGGATCCAGACCTTGAGATAAGAGAGGGGCCCGGTCACCCAGACCCTTACATAACTGGGGGGGGGGGGGGGGGGGGCCCCAAAAAAATTTTTTTTCACCCCTCTGGCCCGACTTGGTTGTAAAAAAAGGGGGGGGCCCCTCCTGCGTTGGCGGTCTCCAAAAAACTTTTTTTCGACCCTTCGGGCCTCAGTTTGGTCTAAAAATAAGGGGGGGCCTCTCCTGGATCCGCCACTGGATATAATCAAACTACTAGAGATAATAGGAATTGCCCTCTTTGAATCTTTTTGCGGATCCAATCAAATAGAGGACAAAGATCACTTTCTTTTTGGTTGTTCCAAATACTCTGTGATTAGGAATAATTTTTACAATTAAGTCAAGACTGATTCCAAATATTATATTACCGAGTTACGCGTACACGTTTTGTTAATGAACTGATGGACTCATCTAATTAGTCTAGTACCAATTTTTGTTAAAGAAAGAAATGTAAGGACTGATCAAACAACTTGAGTAGACTGTGGTTACGATATTTTGACTGGCCAATACCAGTCAGGCTTCTTCAGGTTCAAGAAAATCACTAGTTACTTTATCAATAGGTGCGGTTACACTATAGCCGTTTTTTACCCAAGGGCGAATGGCTGTTGCCAACGGGGAAGCAACTTTTTGTGTGTAACCGATTTCCCCAAGGTGTAATTGCCTTGGGAAATTTCCATGGATACGTCAAAAAGAACAAAAAAATCTCGCAAAGACATTGATAAGAACTCAAAACGGCTCATCCAATCACGAGAAAGTGAAATGTACCAAACAGTAGGAATCGCGTGTTGTCAGTTACGTGGTGTGTTCGTCATGGCGCCAAATCCTACGCGAAACTGGACTCAGAGCATGGGCTATAGTAAACATAAGTTTACGCTATTTAATAAATAAAGGTTTTAAAAATCTTTGAGTGATAAAGTTGATTTAAGTCTTGGTATTGACCAAGCGCGCTAAGCGCACGGTGTAATACACCGCGCACAAAACGCCCACACCCCTGTGGGTATTGCTTGAAACCTTCTTAACGTAAGAGGGCTGTCAACGTTTGTTCTGGAACAATAACCTATTGTTTTGAAATAATATTTACGAGTTCCCTTGACTGTCCGTAACTGAGTAGAAGTAGTGTAGTGGGTTGAATTGATAGGGTGCTCTCCAATCGTCACAGAAATGTCTTAAAATCATTAGGTTTCAGTGTAAGACCAACACAGTATTAACTCGCGCAGCGGATATGGTTTTTAAACTGACTGCAGATAGCCTGAATTTCGGCATTGGTAGTGTGCGACTTGAGGAGACGGCTGAAATTCAGGCCAACATGAGAGCGAAAGTGTTTATTTTGACAATTAAATTGAAGAATTAGTTTATTCGCAGAAAGGATTAGTACTTAAAGGTCTACTGATTTCTCTGAAGTAAACCTCATAGTCACACTGATTTACCCCTGGGGGATTCCTAAATAAAAGTGACGGGGATGCTCGTCGTCTCTGCACCTAGCCGCCGCCAAACCGCCGCCTTGTTAGCTCAGTTGGGAGAGCGCCGATCTTCCGAGCGGGAGGTCGCGGGTTCAGACCCTGGCCGGACCAACACCCAGGGTCTTTAAATAACTGAGAAGAAAGTGCTACCTTTGTAATGACATCTGCAAATGGTTAGACTTTCTAGTCTTCTCGGATAAGGACGAAAAACCGTGGGTCCCGTCTCACGGCACTTTAATTCACTGATTTGTTCTTGTGGGACGTAAAAGAACCAACATCACTATTCGAAAAGAGTAGGGGTCGTAGACCCCGGTGGTGTGGCCAACATTTACGGGTTGTGGGATTGGGTAGGGATGGCACCTCGCATAGGACCTTAGTCCCGTTCGTGCACATTCTCTCTGGGCAGGCCTGTCCAGAAAAGCTGGTAAAGAAATAAATAGGGGTGTAAATTGCAGATGTTGGTCTCTCTTACTGGGTGTTTGGAATGGAAAACCACTATAATTGCCGAGAACCGATTAGGACTAATCGGCTCCTGATTTGCCCTTTCAGGTATCGCTTAGGGCTGTGCATAAAAAATAATACAGAAAATGTGACACTGACCACACAGAAATCTAACGTTTTAAAAAAATCTAACGTTTAAAAAAGAACTCGACATCCCTGTTTTAAGTTTAAGCTTCAACCACTCCTTAGGGGTTTAATTTTAATTTTCCGACTAGCATCAACGTCACTTTTATATGGGAGCCCCCCCCCCAAAAAAAAAACAAAACAACAACAACAACAAACAAACAAAAGTTTTAAAAGGTTTTTAAAACTCCATGGCTCATTCTAAACTCCAGGCAGGAGACAGTACCCCGTCTTAACCACGCGCGGGAATTTTGAATGACGGTTTACAACAACAACAACAATAACATTACAACAATTTATTGTACCCCTGTTAACCAAAAAAGATAAAGTTAATTTACAAAGAATAAACTTAACAGGGCGCGGATTTCCCAAAATAACCAATAAACTAAAAAATGAAATGCCTGGTGAGATCCCGGGGGTGAGATAAACTGGTCATCGATCAAATTCAAGATCTTTGACTAGAAATCTAATATTAAATATGACTGTCCCTGTTACGCTGAAGTCACACTATTAAACTGTAGTAAAAAAGGCATCAAAAACCTGAGGTAATAAACTCTTTTAGAATCTACCAAAGAAACATTGACATATGACGTGTCAGTGTCACCACATAATGTTCAATTTTAAGTGCTGAGGCGAAAAATAGTAGTATCTATTCCTGTACATTGGATTCTAAATTATTTATGACTGACAAAATCTCTGAAACAGCCTCTCTCCGAGCCACTTTTACATTTTCGAGTCCATCTGTATCGATTAAATCCAAGCTTAGAATGCATTGAGTCAAGTGTTCATCTAAATACAGAAACTCCTTGTCACGTCGCGAACCTTCGAAAGCTTTAACTCTTGGTCTCAGTTCCCTTGCTTTCGTTAACTGAATCTTGATTTCATTTAACTTCTCTTCCTCTACAGCCGAAAGCTTTCCGGATTCCACCGGTCTCGATTCCTTCGCACTTTCAACTTCATTGTCAGTTCCATGACTCAGATCTAAATTTTCTGCTTCGTCAGCCGACCGGTCTGCACTTCGTATAGTATTTTCCTGAACTGCCTCGGGTTTTTCCACTGCATAATTGTCGATAAATGTATCGCGAGAACTTTGCTCCCTGTTTCTACTTGGAGCTTTTTCTTCTTCGGGCGGCAGAAATTCGACTGGAATATCAACAGCGTCTTGGGGTAAATTTGGCTCCAATGCCTCTATATTATTTGTCTTCTCTTTCGGTTTCTTGTGAAGCTCTATCTTCAAGGGTTTTCCCCTGGTATGATAACATACTGGATTCTCCGTTCTGTCGTCTACCGATCTTGCTTTTTTCCGGTGGGAAACCTTTCGTCGCTTGTCACATGGAAAATAAACAGGATTTCCCCAGAAGGGGTGTGCTCTTTCTGCATAAAATCCACCGAAACCAGTGAATGGACTATGAGAAGCCTGAAATCTGCTGGACCAGGGATCACTGAACATTTCGTCCCACATATTAAACACTTTTTCTTCTTATTTGTCGCGTGAAGTCTTGTTTCTCCGAATACTGAAACGTTCAACTGACTTGCCGTGAACATTGCAGCTCCTTTTATAGATCGTTAACAACACAAAAAAGCCATCACCGCTAATTTTAAAACGATCCCTCCAGAGACTTCCAGAACCTTCGGGAAAACCCCAGAAAGTGCTCGAAAAAAGCTTCATTCCAGGGAGGGGTAGAGAGAATCAATTTTGTTGTGGTTTACAACTGTCGTTCATCTTCGCACACTTCGTTAAAATTTCATTTTCTATATTGAGTGATATAATTTTAGTAAATATACGCTGGAGCGTTTGATTTACAGAAAAAAATTATTGCAAAAAGCTTTTAAGAGAAAAGTACCCTCTCCTCCCTTGTGAGTATAAGTTTTTGACCTTTCTGGAAGATTCTGAACACGTGGCTCTTAATATAAAATGGCATCTTCGAAGCGAGAATTCAGTTCCAGACAAAGTTTTTCCGCGCAAATTGTGTATCAACTTAAACATGGGAAAAGACTACTACAAGATTCTAGGCGTCCCTAAGACAGCCAAAGACAACGAGATAAAGAAGGCTTACCGAAAACTCGCCTTACAGTGGCACCCGGACAAGAACAAGGCTCCCGGAGCAGAGGAGAAATTCAAGGAGATCTCTGAAGCTTACGACGTCCTTAGTGATAAAGAGAAAAGAGAAATCTTTGACAAATATGGTGAAGAGGGCCTTAAAGGGTCTCCAGCAGGGGGAAACAACTCGAACATGCATTTTCAAGGACCAGGATTTGCAAGAACTTTTGTATTTACTAGTGGAGATGCACGCCAGACTTTTGCAAGAGCTTTCGGTAATGACGATGAATTTGCAGACCTTATTGGCGGCTTAGGAGGGTTTAGCTTCTTCAACGACCTCAGAAGAAAAACGTCAGGGTCAAGAACAAGCGCTAATGATAGTTTTATGTTCGACTTTGATAGCATTCCACCGCCGCGAACGAAGAAGCAAAAAGTTCAAGATCCGACGATCGAGAAAGATCTACTTGTTAGCCTCGAAGAGCTCTTGAGCGGCTGTACGAAAAAGATGAAAATATCTCGAAAAGTCTACGACGAGCGTGGAAGTTTCACGAACGAAGAAAAAATCCTTACGGTAAATGTGAAACCAGGGTGGAAAGCAGGAACAAAGATTACTTTCCCGAAGGAAGGAGATAGAAAACCTGGAGTTGTTCCTGCTGACGTTGTGTTTCATGTGAAGGACAAATGTCACTCTCATTTTTCACGAGATAGCAACAACAATCTTCTTTACACCGCAAAGATTTCATTACGGGATTCCTTGACCGGTGGGCAGGCAGAAATTCCTACAATCGATGGACGTAAAATAAAACTACGTTTGAATAGTATTGTGCAACCAGACTCTACTAGAAGGATCCATGGAGAGGGACTACCACTACCAAAAAATCCCTCCAAGAGAGGTGATCTGATTGTCAAATGTGACATTCAGTTTCCTGATAAACTTACAGAAGTTCAAAGAGATATTTTGTTAGACACGCTACCAAGTTAAAAATTTTTTTGTTCTATCGCGTGAATCTTATAGAACAAGAACAACATCTATAACGAGTTACTATGCCATCGAAAAGTACAAAATATTGTATTTGCATAGTGAACTGATCTTGTAGTATACTAAAAATAAATTTACGATAATACATGTTGCCTTTTTCTGCGGAAAGTGCGAGATCACATTAAAAATATATGTATTTATCCCAAAATATTTTTTTCAGTGCATAATAATCTAATATAAAGAAGATGTAGAAATTGAGCTTTTCTCATATGAAAAATGTTATCGATCGGGGATGCTATTTCAGGGATTTATCCATTTTAATTGTTTATTGTGCTTATAATTTATTCAAAATAAAAATAAATCTGATCATTGCGTACAGTTCTGTAAAATTAAATGTTGGTAAATTATTCCCAAGAGAATGTGTATGTGGGTTCAGGAGAGATGGAGGAAGGAGGGGGATTTCTGCATTGAGTAGCCTCCCACGCAGAGACATTCTTAGGGGTTCATCCAGGTTCCTGCCCCGCAAACGTCAGCTGAAATGAAGGGTGAAATTCCTTTCCCATTGTTTGCAAATATCAACTGGAGCTCACATGCTGACTATCGGAAAACCAATTGGTGCTGTTTAAGTCAAAGTGTTGACAAGCCAAACACGATGTAGAAGCTCGGTAGAGTGTGATACATGACCAAAGAGTTTTGCCCTCTGTACGAAGGTGTGTGAGTTAACTGTAGTGAGTAGTTAAATAATATATTGTTCTAAAAGTGTAAGGTCTTCACCTTTCACGAAACCTTTCTGATCTTTTCTGAAGTCTCGCATGAAATTTCTCAAGGTCCAAAGTGCACTTCCCAAATCTGGAAGTGTGCTGTGATTTATCTTTTGCTTTTCCCTCTCGTTTCAGCAGACGTTTGTGGGGTGGGGGCATGTGAAGAACCCCTAAGAATGTCCAAATGGGAGGTTATCCATTGAGTGGCCCTCTGCAATTTTACATTTTATTTGCCTTGTGATTGTCACATTTGCAAAACAGAATTTATGTGGTCATCTTTTGATTATGGGGCTACATTCACACTACTGGACAAATTTTTGACTGGTAGTATGTTAAGGTGTTCCACTCACTAGGAACCACCTTAATTGTATGAAAATTTAGATGCCTAGCTCTTCAAAGTTCCATGTGAACAGAGCGAAAACAATGAAAAGTCTCATGTGAACAAAATGTCCAGTCAAATTTTATCTCGGGCTGTGTGAAGGTAACCTGAATTATCTACCTTTTTTACATTAATTTTCTTTGAGGCAGTCTTGTTGAAAACGTATGAGCTAATCTAGCAATGGTTCTGGGAAATCCACCTCTGTAGTCTCATTTCAAGTGGTGGAGACTAACAAAGCACTTACTCCCTCAGACTTTGCCAACCAAATAGAAATTAATTACCTCAGCTAGAAAAATTCTGTTATTGATAAACTCTATTTAGAAGCTGATTAAGATGCTATTAAAGAATAATTGTAGTCAGTTATACAGCCAGATCATTATATTGTAAAACGTGTTGTACGTGTTGTAAGATGCACTTCGTCTCTAAAGAAGGAATTATAAGAAGAGAGATTATCCTCTCTTTTTCTAATACCTTCTTATGTAATTATGAACTTAATGTAACTTATCAGTGGTGGATTCAGGGGAGGTGCCCAGGGGGCCCGTGCTCCCTTTAGTTTTAGACCATTCTGGGGCCCCAAAGTCTGAAAAAAAAAAAAGGTTTTTTGAGATTTCCCTTCCCCCCCCCCCCCCCCTTATCTCAGGGTCTGGATGACCAGGCTCCCCCTCTATCTGAAGGTCTTGGATCTGCCCCTGCTTATAGCAGTGTGATTGATTAAAATCAAATGGGGGTTACTTGGGTTAATTTTTGCTGGGTATGTGCCGCTGGCCTCCCAGAGCCCCTACCCCATTATAGTCTATTTTGTGGCCAATTATAGACCCCATCTTGGGTCCCCATCACTTTTGGGCAAATATGTAATTTTCGTTACGGTAGTCACTTTCTATTTTTATGAACTGACCCATTTTTTAGATTGAATGAAGAACATTTTACTTTTCATCTGCAGTACAAACATTCTGGTATGTTTGCTAATCATAAATATGAAGAACTGTCTTACCCCAAAAATCAGAAAATGTGCAACCCCATTCTAGAAACTCTGATCTATTGAAGATGGGACCCCATTATATAGTCAATCTAGTAGTGAAAATGCGACCCCATCCAGCGGCACATCCCATTAGCCTCTTATAAGGAAGAACCCCCCCTCCCCGGTTATAAACTGTTAAAGGGGAGCATGCATCCCCAGCCCTCTCCAAGGAATGGGGTGCTTCTTCTTCTTGCTTTTTCTCTTCCAAACTGAAGGGAAGATTAGGCTCGATCTCCACTGTCTCCCAGGTCTGTTGTTTGATCCAGATGGCAGCTGGTGATTGAGCCTAAAAGGAAGAAGGAATTTGGAAGTGTAGCAATCCACACTTGTCAGTTAACCTTTTGTTGAATTGAACTTAAGTGAGGAAATTATTGAAGGGTGAATTTTACACAATTTTCATCTAATCACAGAAACAGCATATAGTTAGTTTAATGCAAACCTCTCCAGGAAAAATTCATTAAGTTTGTATACATGCAATAATTTATTTCTGAGGAACCAATCTAAAACAAGAGGGCCTGCTTTATCATTAAGGCAGAATTGAAAAATGCTACAACGTGGATATATCTCAGAAGGAATGCCAGCATTGAATTGAAATGTAAGCACGTCCTGCATGTCAGGGAAAGGGGGCACCAAGTACATTGCTAGCCGTAGTCTCATTCCCAGGGTCTTTCAAAAGATGAGAGACTCTGGGAATGGTGTACTGGGGGTACTGGCTTCTACCTCAAAGTTATTGTATCCTTTACTCCAGCTATATTTTTAAAAGGCCTGTTTTAAACATCAAGCTTCATGGGACCAGACAAAGGATATAGAGATACAGGTGCTGCTTTGCAGAAATTAGGGTTAGAGTTAATGTCTGCGATACAGGCTACTTAGAGGAAGTAATTTAATGATCCAATAACTAACTGCCACGTTAACAACTTGTACCAAAAACAACATACAGTCAACCTTCTCTATAGCCTGCGTTGCAAGCGTTTCCTCGCGAGGTTCGTCTAGAAAGCTGGGACAAGAGCAAAAAAACCTTTTTTTTGCTTCCGCTCTAACTTTCGCGCAATAACACGATTGGAAACGCTTGCTACGCAGGCTACCTTCTCTAAGCATACACCTACAGTTTGTCCCTGCCTTTCTTTACTCCATTTAGTTGACTCTCTGCGAGATGGACATCTGCCCTAATACACACAAACAGGTGGTCCCAAAGGAGTTTGCCTTAGAGAGAGTCTACTGTATTTTACTGTCTTCTTAAATCTATTCTGTTCTTGAGTAATTAAATTTACTTCCTGGCAGTGGGAGATTCGGATCTTCAAGTAAAGTGGATGTTAGGGTCAGGGGGCCACTCATCTAGACCCTAGATAAGAGAGAGCCCAGCCTCTGAAATAATTTTTCTGCGCACTAAGGTCTTCAATTTGGTATAACAATGAGGTTGGGCCCCAGGCCCCTCCCCTGTATTTATCACTGTCCAGTGATATTTTGCAAAAGTTGTTTCAGTATTGATATAGTCAGAGCTAGGTGGAGTCAAGTCAGACACACTTGCCAGCATTCGACAGAAACAGAGTCACAGACTATTTCAATTTTCTTCCTTTTTCCAGTTTATGACTCCACTGCTCTGATCTAGTGAAAAAATGAAAACTGAGACTCTTTAATTTTGCTAAGCATCATTATGAAGCTTAGGATATGTTCATACTATCCTCGATAACTTTTCGTGTTGCCTTTGAAAATAGCTATCCAGTATGGGGGGTGTGAACATAGCTTTGATGACTCTGCCTCCGTTGCAGTGACACAACCAGCATAAACTAATTCACTGCAGAGGAACCTTCGATATAACGAAGGGCCAAGGGACTGCCAACATTTGTTTGCTTTAAAGAGGTTTCGTTATAATGAGGTTCTTTTGCATACATTTTCCTATTGCTGGGGTAAAACCATTCATTACACCTAAGGACTTCATTACGTACGTAGAGGTTGATTATATTGAGTTTGACGGTAGTATAAATATTACAATGTAATATATGTAAAAATCTTGAATATGTCATATTCAAGATTTTTTAATACCATGTTGTAATGATTGACGTTAGTGTGAGCTAAAAATAACCAAGTTAACCCCTCTCCCCTTCCCAACTCAAGAGGGTGTGTTTGGTGGGCTGCACAATAGCCATCACTGTTACAAATGTAACTTTTTAGCATCGGTGTTTGTATTTACAGCAGACTTCCACATAGATAAAAACTTCCACATTGATAAATGCTGTGGGTTAATACTAGATTACACCCTGGGTATATGTACCCTACATGGTGCTGTGCTTCAAGTACCCCTCCCATGCCACCTCCTGAGTTTAACATCCCACACTCCTTAAAGCCAATTACCTGCTCCTCCTGTAGACTTGTGTCACTGATAATGATCAGTCTGGTCAGGATCTATTAATTCCTGAAAAAGCTAGCAAAGCTTGCCAGGCTGTCTTAGACCCTCACATGGCAAGTCAGTACTGATGATAAAATTCCCATCCATTAAAGACTGTTAATGCCCCTATCCCCTCAAATCCCTTTAAAATTCAGCGGCTGGAGAGCTGGTCTTTTTATGGCTGACTACTAGATGAGCAGTAAATATCTAAAATTTCCTCAGAACAAAATAAACAATTTATTGCCTCATTTTACAAAACAATCTATTCCATATTTTCTTTGTGCAAGTGCAAGATCAAACACATGCTTCCAAGAGGATACTACAACAACTAAGAGGGAGAGAAAAGAGACTATAGTACCTCTTAGAACTTAATAAGAAAGGATCTTTCAGGGAAGGAGTAAAGAAAAAAAATGAAAAAAATGAAAAAACCAAATCACACTCTTTCTACAATATTACTATGTGTTTAAAACACTATTGGGAATTACCAGCAAATTCTTTTCAGTTTATCAACACTGGAATAATATATATATACACAGTCCACTTCTCATATTTGAAATTTTCTCCTATATTGACAGTAAGCTGACATGATAAATACATGAATATATTATTTCTATACAGTGATAAACTGCCTCATTAGATCATGGCAGTCTGCATTACAGCTTGCTAAATTGCCCTGTGAACTTGCAAAAGCTTAATACCTTTTATTTTTACCAAGAACAAATTCTTCAAGACTCAACATGGTGACGAACAAGCAACATAAATAATAATCATTTCTTAGCACTCCAGACAATACTAAACACTCACAATTTCCATGTAAAGCACCTTCATCAAATTTCATAAAAAGCTGATTAAAAGTATTTTGATTGAATTATTACAAAAGAAGCATTTTAACGCCATGATTACTTTGCCACTAGGAAAATATCATCTGTCTTTTTTAAACTTACTTTCACTACTACATTTTGGGTCACGGCATATCTACCTGGCTGTTGGAGAAAAGCTTTCTGATGAAGGTGGCTGTTGCGTGCTTTCCTTACTCTAGGGCACATAATATCCACAACCCTTCAAGAACTGACGAAAATTAGTCCTTCACAAAAATAAAAGGCATTTACAAAGGCTTTAGCTGTTTGTCAAAAACACCAATGTATTCAATTACTTAGCTTGATCAAACCTTCATTATTTGGAAACAATTTATTATCAAAATCCACTCACTAACAATTTAGTTTAATCTTTGTGTGTTTAAAACACATTCATTACAAGTGTTTTGAGTGATATGGGTGGTTTATGAAGTTAAAAGAAATTCTATACATGCATTATTAATTTGATAAAAGAATTCACTACCAAAGAAATGCACTCAAGTTATTATTAAAAAGAAAAGGAAAAATGTTAAAATGAGAAAAAAAAGATTTTGTTTCATGATATAAGCAAATAGGGCCATGCTAATTAAGCATTGTACCACCAAAATAGTTTCTTTTCGAAAATATATGACAAATCTGGATAATATTTCTGTACACCAAAAATTCTTTTCTTAACTGTAATAGCTTCCTTCACGGCACTGACATCCATAAAGTCAAACACTAAGGGTGTCATCTCAGACAAACTCTTAGTTACCAAGTGCTAAGAAGGCAACCTGCACTTTTATAGGCCACACAGCCTCTACCAAGGTGACACTTGTGTCTTCAATCAACTGACGGTCACGGAAATTTTCTTATTCCTCTTTCCAATAAAATTGTTTCATGGTACCATACTAGCTAGTTCATGTCTCTCCTGCATAGACAAGTTTGTTGGAAATTCAACATTGAAAGTCACTATCATATCTCCCCTTTGTCCAGGTGATTTTGGGAGGGGCAGACCTTCTCCTGGAATTCTCTTCTGTGTTCCTGGTTGAATCACTTCATTTAATTGTATTCTTAATACTCTTCCATCAATAGTTGGAATCTGTAGTTGACATCCAACAAGGGCATCACGTAGACTAACTTTTGTTGTATACAGAAGATTGTTATCAGCATCTCTCTTAAAATACTGGTGTGGTTTGTCTGCAATAACGAATATAATGTCTGCAGGAATTATTCCTGGTTTCTGGTCTCCATGTTGAGCAAAAGTTATTTTTGTTCCAGCTTTCCAACCTGGTTTAATGTCTATTGAAAGAATTTTTTCTTCTCGCGATGTTCCTCCACTGTGCGATAACACCTGACGACATATTTTAAGTTTTCGCGTACATCCTGTTGCAAGTTCTTCCAAGCTCACTTGGATTGGTGTCTCAATTGGAGGATCTTGTACTCCGTGTTTCTGGAAGGGATCTGGACCTGGGAAATCAAATCCATCATTACAGAAGGTTTTAAAGCCACCAGAAAAAGAGGACGATGAAGATGTTGAAAACATTCGTGGAAAAGAGGAATTGAAACCATCAAAGATATCTGTCAAACAAAAAAATTAAAATCAACACAAGCATTATATTTTTATCGAATTAGTTATCCAATATTGTTATATTCTTGCAGAGAGTACAAGTTGACCAGTTGCCAACAATTTTACTACTAGGTGTAATACATTCCTAAAATTCACACATCATCAATAAAAGGCACACTCTAGGTTTAATTTAGCTTAACTCTTCTTAACAGGGGACATGTGACTAAAAATGCACCACCATCTCCAGGAGAGATCTTTCATATGTCTCCCAAAATTAATCTACCAAACCACACACTCCTACTATCAGATAGTCGTGTGCAGAGTCCTTTTAAAAATATATTGGTACGTACCTCTGTTTGTAAAAATTTAGAAGAGTGGAATTTGATTTGCAAAATAATTAAACTCAATACAATGAGGAAACGATTTTGCAAATTGTCTCTCTAAAGCTAAACGTGCTCTGACCTAAGTTAAAAGAATATTCTAGAACTAGAAAGTGAAACACGTAGACAATAAAACTTTTAAATAGAACTAATAATTACATATTCAGCCTATTTTCACTTTTTTCATTTAAACAGGAATTAAATTATAACTTTCCGAAACTTGGCGACAGAAATATTCACAATTTGAATTAGCTGACATTAAGATTGGTAATCACTTCACTGTAAATAAGTTCTCTCTATGACGACGAAACTCAAAACGATTCGCTCGTGCACGCAGTTTAAGATTTGATCTCAAGATAGATGCTTGTGAGGATGGGTCGGACAATTGAAGTAAGAAAATGATCTTTTCAAAGTAAAATCTTTCGAACGAAAATCGGTACGGTGCTTGATGTACAAAATTTGAAGAAATTTGTTTTGACACGACAAATAAAACGAAATATTTAAAATATCATTTGCCGATCTATGGAAGATTCTAGACATAATTGATAAGCATGAAAAACGCTAAACATGACACTAGTTCAGGAAGAAAAATTCATGGCAGAAGACATAACAGATGAGAAAGACCATTTGATAACTCAATTTTGCTGGTAAACCATAATTTAAAGCGAGCATTTTTTTTAGAGCTGGAGCAGTTGAGATCTGAAATTAAAAATGACCGCAGGCTGTCTTTCCACTCCAGCGACTTTATACAATAATTTCTTTTGTCATATTATAACAGGACGTTCGTCATCTACTTTGACAAGGAAAGAAGAAAGGGCGACCCGCGAACTGCGTCAGGAGTGACTAACTGAAACGTATTATTACAACAAAGCCCACTCAAGCAAAACGCGAAGTAACGCGCATTCAGGAAACATAACCTTCCGTGTGAGAACGGTTATCCAAATTAAAACTATTTTTTATGTTTTCACCCTGAAAATTTCATCACGTATAAAGCAAATTGACAGAATAGGCAGAAAAAATGCTGATAAAGAGGGTGCAGGACCGAAATCGAATTCCTACTGGGTCGCCTTCGTGCAATATAAACGGGATTAAAAATAGAAATTTCGAGAAAAAAGGCACACTTCATGTTGTCTTAAAATTGCCATGACGAGGCCTTTCGTCTTTAAATGAGAGTAAATCCAGTCATTCTCACTAATCACACAGCCCATGCGACCTTTTCTGACTCGTAACTCGCAAACTCTCGTTAAGCTTCGGTACAATGTATCAAGTTGTAAAATACAAGGCCCATCTTCTCAATTTAGCGTTAGTTACTACTCGACATCTGTACCCTCGCTCGATGAAACCCCAAAACTTTATGGCTCGAAAACTGGTACCTTTGAACGATTTTTGACACTAAACGAAAAAGTTGTATGTAAACCAACAAAATTAAAAACAAACCTTGGAAGGGGCAATCGGGATCATCACCAAATACGTCGCGGAAAATGCTCACGGGGTCGGGGAAGACACCGAAACTAAATCCACCACATTCGTTCTTCAATCCTTCCTCGCCGTACGTGTCAAATATTCGGCGTTTGTTGGCGTCTGTTAAGACTGAGTACGCCTCAGATATTTTCTTAAACTGTTCCTCTGCTCCTTGGTTTTTGTTTTTGTCTGGATGAAAAAGCAAGGCCTGTCTTTTGTAAGCCTTTTTGATATCCTCGGCCGAGGCATTTCGTGGAACCCCGAGAACGGAATAATAATCCTGCCCCATATACGCCAGCGATTTGTTGCGAGCAAACACCTCCTGACTTCAATAGACTTTTTCCTTTAAAATATAGATGAAAGTTTAAGAAAAGCGGGACCACTCGCACGATGTGTCAACACTGAATCTTTCGAAATCCTTTTGCCAACTAAGACAATCGCCTTCATTTCTTGAGTTGATCGAAGGTTCTGGAACAGTAATGCTGGGTAGCCACGCCTGAAAGAAACTATTTTTCAACCAACCGGGGTCCCCACAGGTTCGACTTTAAAATATGCACTGAAAACCTAAGTTATTTTAACTTTTTTCCCTTTCTTTCGGAGTTATTGATATTTTAAAAACCGTGGGGAGAAAATCTGAAATATATTAGATGAAGAAAAGCATTTCAGCCCGGCTAACAATCTTTGCTTATCCCCTCCCTGTTGTATTTTTTCTGACACGTCGATTATTCAAGGAACACAGTGGGGGTACAATACGCGCACCACGAGAGCAGTTGTCACGAAAGATTGAACGTTCTCGAAACAGAATTTGCAACGTTTGGGGTGTGAAAGTATCTCTGTTTTCCTTTTGTTTTGTGTTTTTTTTTCGGGAATTCGCAGTTATTTTGCCTGAGGCCGGCCGCACACCGACAACTCACGAAGCGATAAGGTCACCTGATTTAAGAAATATGGCGTCTGGCGGCGATGGCGAACAAGAGAGGTTTCCTCAATTTACTCCTTCAAACTATGAAATCCCGTCCTGGCAAATCGAATGGAATAAACCCTGGTACCAGCAGTTCGACGAAAAACGAAATGTTCAAGGCAAATACAATTCTAGGGGGCATGTGGTGGATTGCAGATGTTCATTATGCGAAGAGGATATGGAAAGTGCATTTAGCCCGCAACCGAGTGATATACCGCACGTTTTTAACATTTCTACAGACAACTCTGGAAAAGAAGCATTTCCTTACCCACCTCAAGTGAAGAAGGAAAAGCCACAAAACCAAACTAGCGAACGTGTAATTTTATTTTCCGATCTACCGGAAGTTACTCCGACTTCATCGAAACAAACCGCGGAAGAACGAAATACGTCAGCGAGAAATATTTCAGAGAACAGAACTTCGCGAGATACGGAAGGGATTTCTGGCCTTAACAGCGACGCATTATTCAATAGCATTACCACTCTATCTTCAATCCAATCTATTTCAGGTCGCGTTACAGACATTCAAACTCGTGTCAATAATTTTTCTGGTGCGGAAGACAGTCGAGAATTTATCGTTCTCAGGGGACTGCTAGTTTCCACTTTAGCGGAACTAAATCGAATCAACGCCTCTCAAACAGCGTGGCTCCAACAGGCAAAGCATATCGCAATGCAGTCGATCCACGATTTGCTTACGCAGTTGAAAAGCAAAATTAGCGACGATGACGACTTTTAGGGACTCCAATCAGTCAGTCAATCTCGTGATCCATTTTTTACATGGTTCTGGTTTCGTTCATGGTGTGATAATTTATCATTTTTTCAACATCCGGCTCATTTACGTATACTCTAAAAAAAATAAACAACCCTCGAGAACTTTCCCCGCTGCTAACACAACTCCATAAATGGATGCTTCAATCAATTACCGATTTGGTTGACCAGACATTTAAAACAGACGATCGCAACTACAGCTGCTGAATCACACCAGGGAGTAACAAGTCTAAGAAATATCTAAACGTTTGTACAGAGAGCGTTACGTAACATATTCGCTTTACCGGGCATGCCACACGCAAATACACAAAAGCTCATATGTAGTTACTTAAGAATATTCGCTTTCTGTTTCCATTGAATTACATTCTAGAAAATTTCTTTTTGTTTGTAGAAGTTTTAATAGACTAAATATATGTAGTGACTATCACAGGTATAATTATTTCTTTTTTTAAAATGCTGTCATTGCTTATGGGGTCAGGCCTGTTGGTCTCAGAGATTACTAAATAAATTCAAAATCAACATATTTATCCAGTGTTTGTTATCTTTGGAACATTTCTTTTCATAGAACCAAAATCTCGTTCACATGCAGGGACATTTCCAATACAAAATTTGAAAGGATTTGACTAGAATGTTGAAATTGAATCTACCACACTGATTGAAGGCTATTTGGGTTGAATTTATTATGTACAAGTCAAATCCTTTTGAATTCTTTTCATGGAAGAAATCTAGGTTATTTCTTACGACCTTACCGTTTCCTTTATAATTAGCTCATTGTGTCATATTAAAGTACATGTGTTTTTCCCCATACTTCATCCATTCATGTTCTTGTAGTATAAGTAGTTTATTTCGAAACATTTCACTACATTAGCTTGTTAAAAGCTTTTTCCAAAAATTACTCTCTTTACTGACTTTCTTGTATAAAAAGTGCCTTCCATGACTTCTACTTTCGCATATGCTTTCATTTATATTTAAGTATGTCCCTTAGCTTGATCATCTGTTTTTTTCAGTAGAAAGTCCTAGAACTAAATGAGTCAGCGATAACAATGATCAACAATAACTATTGAATTAACTAGAATCTGAACTATCTTCAGCTATACTGTGTTCTGCACAAGGCTCAAAAAAGATTTGAAAGATGTAAGATTTATCCACAAGAATGTCTCTTTTTCACATTTTGTACTTTTTTTCACTAATGTTATTTTCATACATACCCGCCAAATTTAACAAGCGAGTTTGCACGTCTCTTTAATTAACGGCACTTAGCTTGACGTCCTTGATTAATGTTAACAGAAGGTCCTAGAATGTCGATAGAATGAGATAACGAAGCACTACACGGCTGACTAATTATTCACTCAATTTTGTGCTTTGTTTAGCACAAGCAAGAGAGTATCGGACTCTCTTAAAGGAAGATGTAAGAACACGTCCAACCATGTTTTTTCTCCCATCTCTTTCCAGTGTTTCATATGAAATGCTGTCAAGTGTTTCTTTTTTTAAAGTCAACTGAACAAATGAGTATTAAATTTGATGTTTTTTTTATTTCCTGAGTTTCATCACATTACTCATGGGCATTCTAGTGTTAACTCAACAGAAAGCTCTAGAATTATACAGTGTTGACTGAACTGCGAAGCCACAAATAACGGGTTTATCCACTCGGAAGCACTTAGGGGCGACTGAGCGTCAGTTTTTGAAGGTGTACGCACACGGGAAGAAAGTTAGAGTATTGAAGGCGCTCCAAACTAGGGCCAGGTCCGAGGGCATGCTCCGGCAGAAAATTTTTAAATTTAGGGTCTCGGAAATGTCATTTCCTACTTTACTTTTTCCGCGGAACATTTTCATTAAAAAATGAGGAAATTGCAGTCGTTAGTTCTTTATTCTACCTGGGCTCGAGTTATCGGTAAGGTAAAATGTTTACGGACAAAAGGGTAAAACAGTGACGCCATCAAAGAGGTTACAAGCTGACGGCGAGACATCTACCCTTCAGACGGGCAAACTCCGTTACAACGAGATCATGATCAAATATCAGCGTTCTTATGCTTATGTATAGGCCTGTTTCAAACGTGGTGCTACTGCCGTGCTAAGTTGGCTCGACCCTCGACTGCAGCACGACACTAGCACGACTTCAGTCGGTTTCAGACGTCGAATTTAATTCAGTCGAATAGACTCGGCTGTTGCCGAAAACAAAAAACAAAAATCAACACACGGTTTAGCAAACCTTTAAATGTATTGTAATGTAATAATATTATAATTTATGAATTGAGTTCGGCACGGCAGTAGCGCGACGTTTGAAACCAAGTCGAGCTACTGCCGTGTAGCACGGCAAAGCTTGCCGTGCTACACGGCGGTAGCACGACTTGGTTTCAAACGTCAAGCTACTGCCGTGCCGAAGTCGAATTTAATTCGATCAATTTAGTTAAGCACGGCATTAGCACGACGTTTGAAAAGGGCCATAAAAAATATGTCTCGAGCAGAACTGCAAGAGAGCTCAATCTCTCGTCTTTCATCCCATTACAGTAAACACCCGCTAATAATTATGAGGGACGGACCATTCGAAAACTTATGGGGGGAGGGGGAGCAGGCTGGCGCAAGGGAAAATTACATGAAAAAAAAAAAAATACAAGCACGCCAATTAATCCTAAAAATGTTCATGCTTTGGCCTAAAAAAAAAAATTAATACAAGTATAAGAACCTGTTTAGCCAAGCGAAATCAAGCAGGTTCTTATATGTGGGTTACAAGTAAATTAAGAAAAACACTTTAACCAAGGAGTTTGACTTCGAGATTGGCAGTTGAGTATTGCAAGAA